GGAATCCTGTTATTCAGTTACTGCTATAATTCTGCCTAATAAAAACTTCCATTCTTTTTGTACATTAGCGATCCTGCCTTAGGACTGTATTTGTATTCGCTTTAAACCATGTCTACATTGCCTAAATCAATTACTATCTTGTCTATAAGAAATATTTAAAAACAATCCCAACACTTAGATGTCATAGAGATAAGTGTGTATAAACCAGTTCTGTAATGTAATATTCAACATCTAGACCAACATGCTTATAAGAACCAAACTGGCTGCTTAAAATTGTTTACTGGTTTACTGTGCTCCTGATTAATGATTAGATACCATGCTTATAGGACATCATTGTTACATGCCTAGGCAAGCCTGTAAGGCAACTAAAATCCTACAAATTGTAAAACTACGTTTTTGTTGTTTGTGAACTGCCTAGATTCAACATGTCTTAAAATCAGTAGGCAAACTGATTAGGTCTCTATCACCTCGCTTTAACACGATGCTGCATACATTCTATTTGCTCACCTAGATATCCTACTCTAGGATCTTTGGAAATGTTTGAAATCTTGCTGTTTGAGACGTGCTGTTGTTTGCTTATTTGTGGAGGTAAACATGAGCCCCTTAATTGTTCTTTACTTGACAATTCTAATTGTTCTAATTGTTGCCTAGATTTTTCTCCTTTAAGTACCTTAGGAATGTCTAGAACCGCCTAAATTAGAGGTCCTAAATACCTCCATGGCCACAAGGAAGGGATGGGTTATGCACGCATAGAGTTCTTTCAATTAAAAGCGCTTATATAACCACTAAGGGGAGGGTAATTGGGTAGTAAAAGGATATGATGACATATGCGCTAATTCCACGTGTAACCCCTCTAGTTGAGGAAGGTTTACCGGGTATTGTATAGATATGATCCTGTAGGCTAAAAAACCTAGGACCCCTTTTACCCCTTGTTTTAAATGTAATACCTATTTGTCTAAATTGCTTTTTCTGTTTATAAGACTAATTCACATAATTTGAGTTCGGCCGGGACCCACCATTGTGGACTGCGAGGGGTGCCTAACACCTTCCCTTCAGGGTTATTTTGAGCCCTTACCCGATCTCTGGTAATGCAAATCGGTTTGTTTTATGAGTTACTTTCTTTAGGTGCCCTAACGCACCTTAAATCAGTTAGGTGGCGACTCTTCAAATTCAAATACCCAATTCTTGAAAGGAAATGAGTTGTTCCAAATGAATGTCGAAACCCGGATTCCACGAGAAAAAAGGGGGCACGACAATATGGCGACTCTGCTGGGGATATTTTTGGCTCTTACCATAACAAACTTGTTTTTGTGAATTACTCTTAAGCATGCTTATTTCTGTTAACACATGTGCACCCTTCCCATTTCCCCTTTATTTTGATTTAATTGCTTATTTCTCAAGCATTTACGATTTTCTTTATTTCTTGAAACTGACTTGTCTCTTTGATTTCTTTTTTGTAACTATCTTTCAATTATTAAAATACCGCATTTATCATTTTTTAAACGTGCAAATACTTGACAACATGCTATTATTGCTGCATAAATCATGCTCAACACCATATTCCACTCGTGCGTAATCAATCCTATAAAAACGCTTGATGAGTGTTTGTGCTCTTCCTATATATCACTCTTTTGGATTCTGAAAGGCGTATTTGCGATAAAACTAGTCGATCAACGGTGCATTCGACGGTTCCGTGCCTTTCCCTCTCAAGTTGTCCGCTTGAGGGTCCAGTCTAGACCTCTATAGCAACTTTACTCTGACTAGTTATACATGCATCATGGTCAAACCTAGCCAGGTTAATATGTTGTCCACATAATAACCCTTTAAGATAAGCCTCATCCAAAAGTCCATCGGGTTTTCCATAATCCCAACAGATGCAACCACGACTATATGCATTAATTTTGGAGAAACAAGTGACAATGTGCTAATCATTATTGTATAAATAGACGGACATGGAGGGGGGAAAAGGCCTAACCATATTCTGTTTTGCAGAAAAAATAAGGCACGAAGTCCCCAGGTTCGACATGGTCGATAGCATACCTTTACTTTTGTTAGATTGGTGGAGGGATCTTCCTTCAAGTGATCAAAATCATGTGAAAAGGGTCTTAGGAAATTTTCCTTCTTTGTTGGATCTTTAGCCAAACAAAATGTTGATCGAAGCTGCCACCATGTTCTGGGACAAAGAACGGGCTGTGTTCCGCTTTGGAAACATGGAAATAACCCCTCTCTTGGAAGAAATAGGGGGATTCGCTGGGTTGCCTTAGGACAACTCTGGTTTATTGGCACCTAAAAACCGCACCACTAGGGGGTTTCTGAAGATGATGGGGTTAAAGAAGAATGTTGACTTGGAGTGCCTGAAAAACTCCTACATACCTTTCAACTTCCTCTATGAATGATATAGTCACAGTATCTCTTACCGTATTTTTGATGATGAGTTCTCCATCACCTCTTTGGGTTGGATTCATGTTACATTCCATGTTTTCGTACGTGAGAGTATGTCGTAAGCCAATTAATGTAAGCTTGGAAATGAGATCATTTTTGAAAGTACATAACGTAAGTTCATCATGTTATCTTGGAGGTTACAAATCTTTAAGATCATGAATAACAAGTACCAAAAGGGTTGGAAAGCTTAGACGCTAAATGAATTGAAGAAATTAAGTTTCATCAAAAGTCGACAAGTTTGGAATGTTATAACATATACTTTTGGGGTGAGACTGGGGTGATTAACATGATGAGGAGTTTAAGTTATGAGTTATTTTAGTCGTATGATAGTAGTGTGTTATGTTTTTAAGTCAAGCGAGTTCTGGAACAAAAGTTGGCAAAGGTCATCACAAGTTACATTCGTAATGTGCTGAAATGTAGGTCAAATGTAGCTTCAACTTTCTCCCAATATACTTTGAATAAAGGGATGATCTACATATCAAATTAAAGATCTATGAGTATAGTTTCTAACCCATTAAACCGTTCATTGATATGATATCGTACTAGAGATATATTTGCATTTCCGCAAGACTGCGCCAAATAGCTCTCTATAGGGCCCACATAGGCGGTTTAAGACATATGGATATATATAAGATGCCTCAACCCCATTTTAAGTCATTATTTTCAGTATATTCAGACCTTAGAACCCTAGAAACACTCTCTCAAGGTTCTCTCATGATCCAAGGCTCAAACAAAGGGCAAACAACACAAATAAAGTGTCGGGAATCCCGTGACGCTAGTAAATTTCTTGTTCTTCTTGTTGTTGCTGATTTTTGGGTCGTTCCAGCTCGTGTGGAAGGTTGTTTATGTTCTGTAAAATATTCTCCCATAGTTTTATCATATCAACCCTGGGTTATTTCAAGTCTTGCAAATGGATTAGACCATATTTTAACATCAGAAGTTAAGAATAACACCTCTTTGAGGTTGTGTTGTCATTGAGGATAATTGTAGGCGGTTTTGTGCTAAATTTTCAAGTTGTTGCTACTGTTTAAGGTGAGTATAACAGCCTACTAATTTTGCTTAAGCTTTCTTGTAAGTTGGTTAAGTTGTTAGGATGATAAACTTCAAGATAATACTTGGATTAGCTTAAGTCACTTCTATGGTGTTGTATTGCCATTGAGGGCTATTGTAAGCTAAATATAACTTGGATTTCGACTTGAAGCTACTGTAGGAGGTATGTGTATTGTGTTCTTTCAGGTGCTTAAGGTTATCTTTGTCACACCTCCTTTTTACATACCCGAGGGTATATGGGAGTTTTTCAATTAATGTAACATTATTCGAGATTGGATTATTTAATTTATTTAATCATAGTTGCCACTTGGAATAAATTATGGTGTCCCAAGTCACCGATTTATTTTAAATTCCAAATTGAGGAAGTTCTTATTTTTTAAAGTCTGCGAACCAGAAATTCTAGATAAGGAATTCTGTTAACTCGGGAGAAGGTGTTAGGCATTCCCGGGTTCCGTAGTTCTAGCACGGTCGCTTATTGATTATTACTTGGCTTAAGTTGTCTAATTACTCATTTTAGGAATCTATGTGCATTTTTATCCGCTTTTAATTACTTGACTTATTCGTAATTAAGGAATTAGGTTACGCGTACGTGTACTCTCTTCCTTGGGCGCATTAAAATCATGTCACGCGAACGTGTCCACAATTAATAACGCTTTGTTTATTTTATTAAGAAAAAGTTTGGTTGAAGTTGCGTGAACGCATACCCCGGGTTATTTTTATAATTAAATTCACAATTATGTTACGCGAACGTATACATAATCGCAATACTAATCTAAATCGAGCCTAAAGCAAAACTACGATGATTAATTAATATCTAAGTTAATACTAATGTGAGGGCCACAACTTATGAATTTTGTTTGCGTGTGGGACACCTCGATTTATTTTAGAAGGGGCATATTCAAAGCAATACTACAAATGTTCATGATTATTGGGCTTCCTAAGTTATTTGCAATATCAACTTAAGAATGAAAGAGGTATTTCAGACTACAAAATATATGTTTATTCAAGGTCTTCTAAAACTAAATTTGTCAGCCTAAAAGTCAAGATTTGGACCAAAATGAAATCTGGCCCAGTTTTGTGCTCAAGTACTGGGCCAGTCCTCTTTAACCATTTTTGAAAGAAAAATAAGAGCTGCCCAGCTTAAATTGATTCATACAAGGGATGTTACATAGAAAAAATCATGGCGTTTGCATTGGCTAATAATATTAATAAAACATGACCTATATCATAGGGTTGAATTTCAAATAGATTTACAAAGGCCAGATAACGTTTAAAAGACATTAAAGACTGGGCCATGAAATGCAGGCCTAGTAAGGTCTCTCTTTTTTAAAGACCTCCTTGGGGTCTAATGATTCGGACCCATCAACCCAGGCTTTTGTCCTATTTATGAGGGCCCATAACAAAAAGGCCTTTACAAATGACCCCAATCAAAAACATAAATTATTACATATTCTAGTCCAATCATCATGTTTAAACATTAATTCTCATTTACACACGTCATACTAAAGTAAAGATGAAGAAAAATTAAACTTGTATTATGAGATTTCTAAGTTTCATATTACAAGGCCATGATACATAAACAAATCTACTATAAACTGTAGGATCAAAAAATAGCTTCAATATCATCTAAAATGACTACTTGGAGTTTGATTAACCAACTGGAACAAATGAATCTGCAGATTACAACCTGGATAGAGATTTCGAATATGTAAGGAGTTAATCCCCTATTTTTAACCATCTTGACTTTATACAACAACTGACATGGACATGATAATATTTAGGGATTCAACAAGAAAGCTTTATTCACAAAAAGGGAGGACAAACAAGCCCTAAAGATAACAACAAACTTCAGATTCCAATGGCTAAAACAAACAAAATTCAAAGTTCACACTTCTCCTAAAAAGACCTAGACCAAACAGTAATATTTATGCTAAACAGAAAGTATTCAAATCTCAAATCTATGAATCAACTAATATGTTCATCCAAATTTGAAATTAAGCATAAAGAGACAAGTATTTAGATCAAATTTAAACAAGAGGATCCATTCCATATAGGGTGTGATTACATACCTAATAGTGATCCAAAAACAACAAGAAATAGACCAAATAAAGGTCATTGAATAAGGCTGATTTTGAGCTTAAACCAACAGCAATAAGACAACAGCTATTCAGAAACTCCACCCAGAAACCAGCAAGAAAACCAACCAGTTTTTTCACCTAGCAAACCACAGCTAAAAGGGACAAGTATTTCCAGAAAAATACACAGCTAAGAGAAACCCATTTTGGAGTGTTTTTGTATCTATTTTGGTATTTTTCAGAATCAAATATGGATTTTCCGAAAAGACTAATATCTCTATATGTTTTCAGAACCTTTTTGTGCAGAAAAATGCTGATGAATGTGTGTGTGTGAGAGTGAGGGAAAGTTTTCTTTATATAGAGTACCCAAAAAATGGCATCTAGGGAATATTATACCCTAATTTCCCTAGCTAGTACAGTATTTTTGCAGAGGATAAAATGTCTAGTTGTCCATTTTCAGCATCTTTTAAAACCAATTTGGACAGCTGGTACACTTTCTAGAACATTCTGATATTTCCTAATTAGTAAACCCCAAATTACCCTTCTAAAGTCTGCTTATTGCAGTTTTTACCTAAACTTTCCTTGTTCAATTAAGTCCCTAGGGTTCCTAATTATTGGAAAATCAGAACCAACATTACACGACCAAAGTTAACACACATGAAAAGATCAAAGGAAAAAATTATTGAGCAAACAACCCTTAAACCTAAAGTCATTTGATATGAACAGAATCAGAAAATGAAACAAATACAGAAGAAACAATTTAACCCTAATATATCTGAAATGAAACAAACACAGAGGAAAACTTTAAACCTAATATTAGCATGAGTTTCAAAGGGAAGTTATTAAAATCTACGTACAAGTAATGAAACTAACAATTAAAGACAGAAAAAGAGAAATTAAGACATGCAGCCAAATCAGAAGTAGAACCAATTGAAAAGAAATAACCCTTACTTTAAATTAACCCGACCTAATTATCCTAAAATGCATCGAACTATTTTAATAAAAATGATTAACTAAGTAAACTTATTTTATTGAAATTCAAACAAGACAACCAAAATAAGCAAGACTGATACCTAAATGATAAGAATAAAATAACTAACTAAAGAAAAGTAGAGAAGAAACAGAAACGACCTGGTTTTGGCCGGAAAAAACTTGAACAAACAGAGCAGATCAAAGGGCGATGATATTTGTCGAAGCTTGACCGGTCAGTGTTGACTTGGTCGGAATCCGGTGGTCTCGAAATAAGCCAAACTAATGCTAATCGATTGTTCTTGTCAAGAACAATCGATTAGCATGACCTTTGACTCAAATCGAGCCTGAAACCCCCAAAAATCAAAGTGAAGAGGACAATTTAGGGTTGGTCTTTTCTTTCAGAATCTAGATCCGAAATTGGAGCAAATGGGTATGGGTTTTGGAGCAATTGGTGATGGATATAAGACGATGGGGTTATGGTGTTTTCTTGGTTAGAAGATGGGGGTGTTTGGGACGGCGCCGCCGGCCGGTAGGGTTTGGGCATTTGGGGGTGGCTAGGGTTTGGGTTCTTTGAGAGAGGTGAGAGACTGATAAGGGTTTAGAATGAGGGGGGTGGAGGAGTTTCCGACATTAATATACTAGGGTATTAATCAGTTCCCAGCCGTTAGATCTATGATGATCAACGACTAGGATTTACAATGGTTAAAACGAGGTTGTTTAGGGACAGGGATACCTAGACCGTTTAAGGGTTGGTTTGGTCCTGGGTCTGGGCGGATTTTGGGTATTTTTTCGGGTTGGGACATGGGTATATAATCAACCCAATTGAAACAAAACCAATTTCTAAATTAGCCCCTCCCCTTTTTTATTTCCTTTTCTTTCTTTTTTTTTTTAAAATTAAAAACCTTAAAATTAAAATCCTAGATTATCTAAAAATATGAAATTAAACTAATTAACTAATTAAAAGAATTATAAAAGCTACTTAATCCTTAAATTAAAAGACAAAACATCAATAATTTAAAAATAAAAGGGAAAAGTGTAAAAATGAAGCATTTTTTGTGATTTTCATTTTATAAAACAAATAATTACTGGTTAATCCCGAAAATGTAAAAATAAAGCCTAAATGAAAATGCATGATATTTTTGGTATTTTTATGATTTAAATAAAAATTAAACATGCAAGGAAATGCAAATAATTAAGATAATCCTACAAAATACCCAAAAATGGCAACTAATTAAAAAAATCAATTTTCTTGGATTCTGTAGGAGTAACTCATATAGGGCAAAAATCACATGCTCACAGCTGTCCATCTTTGCTCGGAAACACGAAGGTTTTCGGGAAAAGATAAAATGAGCAATTACGAGGGATTTTTGCCCGTTCGAAACAACATGTGAAGCATCTTTTGAAAAAGCCTGACCAAACCTTGCTTCGGAGGTTGCCTACATATCCTTGGCTATAAAGGAATCGGGTCAGTGTAGTTCTTAAAGTTTTGGTAGCTGGGACTACCGGAAAACTGTGATTTTACTGCTGTTGCTGCTGTTTCTACTTGCTGAGCTCCTTATTACACCAAAATGAAAGATAAGAAACTAAACTAGCTAAGCCTATCAACTACGAGTTACAAGATTCCTATTTATAAACCTTCAAAAGATTGATCTTGAGTCTTGGATAGTTCTTCCTGCAGACTCCGATCTGAATCTTGATGCTCGTTAGCTGCAACCGCTGGTTCATTCTTCAGCTTTTCGGATCAAGGTGGGACATGCAAAACTTGTGACTTTAATCAAATTTTGAGTAGTCCGCATCTTTTCTCCGCTTCTACACTCAGAGTTCAACTTCTTTTCTTGTTTCTTCTTTTCTTTTATTTGGGTTGAGACTCCTTCTTTTGGTCATCTCAATCTTGTGCCTCACAGTGAAAACCTGTTTAGGCACCAAAGCAAACAAACGAACGAAATTTTTCTGCCTCAGTTTTCACTAGAAAATTTCATGAGTTATTGTAACAAAAATCTAGACTATTTCTTTATTTGAAAGCAATAAAATAAGGATTGTCTATCCTTGAGAAAAAAGAAATTAGGGAGTGGAGCCCTATATCTACACTAAAATCAACTAGGGAGTGGAGACCCTATGTTGGAAAAGCAGCCTAGGGAGTGGAGACCCTATGTCTAAAATAAAATCAACAAGGGAGTGGAGACCCTATGTTGTAAAAACACTAGGGAGTGGAGACCCTATATGTAAAATAACTTCAACTAGGGAGTGGAGACTCTATGCCTAAAATAAACTCAACTAGGGAGTGGAGACCCTATATTGGAAAAACAGACTAGGGAGTGATGACCCTATGCCTAAAATAAAATCAACTAGGGAGTGGAGACCCTATGTTGGAAAAACGACTAGG